GACGCGCCCCCTGCCGGAGGCCGAGACCGATTGTCTCCGGTGGGCGGAGTCGGAGGGGCAGGGACGAATTGCCTCTCAAAGCGCTTGCGCAGAGGTCCGGCTTCCCGGGGCGGAGCGGGAAGAGGCGGGAACTAGCAACTGGGCCCAAGAGACTTCTGGTGCGCAGGCGCACTCCGCGACCCTCCCCATCTTTGTTGAGCAACCATCCCCCGCCGGCGGGCGTTGGGGTGGGGCCTGGAGAGGCGGCTCTAGGGGCGGGGCTAGATGTTGCGGGCTGGGCCGCGGCTAGTGGACTTTTCCCCGCCGTCGCCACGGTGGCCCTCGCGTCCTCTGATCTGCGATAGCCATGCTCCCCAACACCGGGTAAGGGGATGGGGAACCACGGGGAGAGCGCGGCCTGGGAAGGCGATACTGGGGGCCCAGGGGGCCCGGCTCGGGCGGTGGGAGGGAAGGAAGCCACTGGCGCGGCGCGCCCCGGGACGCTGTACCCAGAGTGGGCAGTCACGGGGGAAAGCCGCCTGAAGTGGAGGACCGCCGGGAAGCAGTCTTGTCGGGACCTTTTCCCGGGGACGGGGACGGTCCCCTCCCGCTCGCAGGGGGCCGCGGCTGGGTGCCTTGTCAATTCCAGGTGAAAGGTCAGGTGGAGCAGCGCCTTGCTGCTCTTGCCCGCAGCCTCAGTTCTGCACTCCTGAAGTAATGGGGTGTCTGAAAAAAAAACCAAGACTAACAAATTGAAATAGTCACAAGGGTGTGTATCTTGATCTAAGTGACAGGTCCATTATATGCTTTGCTGAAAACCTATGGAAACGCGGCCTACAGACTGAATCAGTTGAAAACGGTCAAAGAAGCAAGTCTCTCTGTCCTTAACGTACAGGCCCCCAATTACTGTTAGGTTACTGTTAGATTTGCCAATACTCTAGGCCTCTATAAATATATTCGTACATAACCTAAACGCACACAACACCTTAAAAATAGTAAACTCCATTCTGAGTCTTTCTAGTTTTAATGTACTTTAGAACGTACTTCTTCAGTACACGTAGATCTTCCTCTTTTTTTTTTTAATGCTTGCATATTATATAGAGGATGATAATTTATCAGCCCCATATTGTTGGATACCAGGTAATCATCCAGTTTTTTGTTCATCTTTTCTGCGTTGACTAACCTTATATTTATCTCTTTGCACCTTTGTGAGTTTATCTGGACAGTAACTTCCCAGAAATGAAATTGCCAGATCAAAGAGTAAATATGTACTTTAAAGTCTGATCAATATCGCCAGATGACTCTCAAGAGGTTGCATAACCCCAAAGGAGCTATGTGATTTCCTAATCCAAGATATACGCAAATATCACAATGTTTGATAATAAAGTCATTAAAGGAAAATATGACACCTTTCGCCAAATTTTGTATTTTTGTCTTCCTGAGCGAGGATGACGATGTTTTTCTATGTTTAATGTAGTGGTTCCCAAGGAGGGACAGATTTGCCCCCTTAGAGGACGTTTGGCAACATCCGGGATATTTTTGGTTGTCACAGTTGGAAGGGATCTGGAATCTGGAATCTTGTGGGTGGAGTTTGGGACCAAATGTTAGTATTGTAGAGGTTGACAAACCCTGACTTAAAGTTCTATGTGAATCTCTGTCTTTGACTGGCTTAAACAACTTGATTTTGATGGATTGTTTTGAGTTCTGTATTATTTTTTTGAAATTAGAGTGTCGTTTGGGTTACAAATACTTATCTAAGGTTTTGTTTTGAATTTTCTCTTGACGTTATGTTGTTGGCAAAACTTTTTTATGAAGCCAGACTGGCATTTCATTTCTTTTGATGCTGTTGAGTTTTTGTAATAAGCCTCTAAGTAAAACCACGTTAAACCACAATTTTAAGACCTGGAAAGTATTCTTTCAGAATTTTATTTAGCTTAGTTTTTTTTAAAAACTCTTACCTGAGATTTATTTCGCTATAGGAATTGAGTTCGGAAACCCACTTCATCTGGGTTCCAGCACTGTCCGCTTGCCGTGGTACTGTTGGTGGAATAGTTCATCTTTGTTCTTTTCTTTGAAATTTCACAGTTCTCCTGTACCACATCCTTTGAAGTATGGGGTTCCATATCGAGTAAAAAAAGGGATGGATTGACACCGTTTTAGCAATTTCTCAACGGTACTGAAAAATTGGGCACTTGAGGGGCTGTTGCCTCATTGACTCTGATTCTAAAGCTTTGGAGCTAGAATCATTTCTTAGTGCAGCTCTTTGTTGGCCATTTAAGAGGAGAAGTTCTTTTTGCCTTTCTGCCAATGCCTGAGAGTCTGGGAGCAGACGGGCTTGTCCTCTGTCCTACTGGGACTCCATCCAGCTAAAACCAAACCAAAGCAGTAGGGGTTTTTTTAAGCAATAGTGTGGACATGTTCATTTAAATACTTCTCTCTGTAAAATCATCTTAATATTCTAGATAAACTCATATTATAAAAAGGGAAAATTGCAAGCATGCACATATATATTCATGGCAATATAAAATGCATTATATATGCATGTTTGCATATATATATATTTTTAAAAGAATAAACAATCAGCATTCTTGAACTCTACCCATAAGATTCCAGTAGGAGGACTCCAGATTCCTTCCAACGATGACAATCAAAAGTAATAAAACTGAATAAGGGCAAAGTGGAGACTTGTATGAGTGTACTTTTGTTTATTTATTTATTTTAATCATTTTATTAGGGGCTCATACAACTCTTATCACAATCCATACATACATCAATTGTGTAAAGCATATTTGTACATTCATTGCCCTTATCCTCAAAACATCCTCCACTTAAGCCCCTGGCATCAGCTCCTCATTTTCCCCCTCCCTCCCACTCTCCTACCTTATGAACCCTTGATTATTATAAATCATTATTTTGTCATATCTTGCACTGTCCAACGTCTCTCTTTACCCACCTTACTGTTGTTCGTCCCCCAGGAAGGAGGTTATATGTAGATCCTTATAATCGGCCGAGTGTACTTTTTTTATAAAGTCCTCTCAATTAAGACAAAGGAAAAGATTAATATTAAACAATTAAATTGTATATATGAAGTAATGCCAATACAACTATTTTAAAAAAGCGAAGGGAAGGGAAACCTAAAAGGAATGCTAACATAAATACACGAACTATATCAAATGTATTATGTAAACATACAGAGAAAAAACATTTAATGAGAGTGATTTTTTTTTTTTAACATAGTAATTTGTCTACCCAGCTTCAGAGGGATTTTTTTTTTTCTCTAAAGGCAGGAAGAACTGAAAATAAATCTTAGACTTCAGTAGATTTTTTTTTCTTGATCATGGTATGAGTGTAATAACTTAAGCACAGTTGTAAATATTGGATTTATAGTATAGGACAAATAAGTAAATATATTGATGTTGTTAGAAACCAGGATTCTCACTGTGAGAGAAATGAAGTAAAAAATTGAATAAAGGAAGGAAAGGAAGCTGCTGCTGGTGTTGGATTGAAATTGGAGAGGGTTAACCCACATGAATAAACACACTCCCTTACTGCCATTAAGTTGATTCTGACGCAGAGCCACCCTGTGGGTTTCCAAGACTTTAAACCTTTACAGCAGTAGAAAATCTCATCTTTTTCCTCAAACAAATGCTAGCAGAGCTGAAATGAGCGCGTGTACTTGTGTTTAATTGACTATGCAGAGGCATTCTGCCATGAACTGACATCTGAAAATTGATATATGTCACACAGCAATGGCATTTTGCAGAATGCAGTACCCGTTCATGATAAACAGTTCCAAACTAGGAACAGACGGGAGGAAACTCCTTCAAGCCTATTAAAGTGCTTCTGCAAAAAACCTATATCCAATGTGATATTCAATGTATCTGTTGGAATCTGGTAATTTGCCCTGGTTTTCACAATAATAAGCCTGTTCTTGTTTGCTGGATGCTGACAGAAGACACAAGCCTCCTGGATTAAAGACAGGGTTTTCTTACTCATGACACAGCAAGCAGCAGGGTAACCTTGGATTGTATCAGTTCCCCTGCCAAGTGCTCTGGGGCCACGTGGAGGGTCCCAGGGAGCTGCTGTGCCATCCTTTTGCATTGCAGTTGAGGAACTCCGAACTGGTGGGATCTGCCTCTGGTAAAGCAAACCTGCTCTTTCCCTAGATGGAGACATTACGTCCTTCCTGCACCCTTAACCTAATTTTGAGAAATTGCCCAGGCCAAGCCCTGTCAGCCAAATGCCACCTTGGCTTACCCCTAAGAAGTATGCCTATGTCTTTCCCAACAGTTTGCCTCTCAGCCTTCAGGGTTCTTGGCTACTTTGATTTACACCTTTGGAGACAGTTCATTGGCCAATCTGATTAATATAACAGAGGTTGGTGCCATATCTGTATCAGCAGGATTCTAAGCAACCAGATGAGGCAACAGTGATCTTACAGGACAGAATTTTCCACCCCAGAGGATTTCCAAGGTTATACATCTTTAAGGGAGCAGCAGCCTCAGCTTCTCACCTGGTGGGTTTGAACTGCCAACCTTGGTTCTTTCCTTCTTTTTTTTTTGCCTTTAGAATGGGAACAATTAAGTGCCCCCCACCCCACTCCCCTTTATAATGTTAAATTTGTCTCACCTGACAACCAACTAAAGTTAAGGTGGAAGGATTGTAATGAAATCCTGGCCACAGAGAGCTCTCCCATCCATTGAATTAGAGAGTTCTGGTACATACTGCGTTCTTTACAAGCCTTCGAAGGGAACTGGCTTGTGACTGTTTATAGCTTTAATTGAGATATGATTCACATGCCGTACAACACACTCATCATTAAAAGCATACAGTTCAATGGTTTTTAGTCTATTCACAGATATGTGCCACCAGCCTTCACCGTTTCATCACCCCCCTCCAAACACCACCCTACTTTAGCTGTTAACTCCAATTTCACTCTCTTACTCCCTATCATTCCTGTACCCCAGGTAACCTATATATGTTTTTTGTTTCTATAGGTTTGCCTGTTTGGGACATTTTATATCAAGGGACTCATGCAATAGCTGGTCCTTTGTGACTGACTTTTTTCTCTTCGCATAATGTTTTTAAGAGTCCATTTATGCAGTAACATATATCAATACATCATTTCTTTTTAATTTTGAATACTGTTTTTTTTTTTTTTAATTATAAACTTATTTATGTCAGGACCAGTGGTGTGAGTGGCGAAACAGGGAGGGTAAAGGGAGAATGGGTAGGAAAGAGGGAACCAATTACAAGGAACTGTATGTGACCTCCTCCCTGGAGGACAGACAACCGAATAGTGGGTGAAGGGAGACGTCGGACAGGGCAAGATATGACAAAATACCCATTTATAAACTATCAAGGGCTCATGAGGGAAGGGGGAGCGGGGAGG